TGTACCATAAAAAAAAGTTTATTTATATTGACAATCAAATAAAGTATTGGTATAAGTATGATATATTCTGACGATATTAAAAATCTGTTAGTAAAAATCTTTTTTACTGATGGAATTTAACAGTTAATAAATAATTTATACAAAATTTTTTTTGTATGGATTATTAAAGGCATTTTTGGCCAAAAACACCTTCAATAATCTCATTCAATTTTTTATAAGTCAATAGTTTTTTTGTTTTAAGCCTATACTAATAGCTATTGATAGATAGTCATATAGCGTCAAAAAAAATTTATTTATATTGACGGTTAAATAAAGTGTTGATTATAATGTGATGGTATTAAAAATCCATCAATAAAAATCTTTTTTATTGATAAAATTTGACCGTCATTATAACAATGTTTTAGTATATAAAAAATATTTTGTAGTGTAATTAATATAATCTTTGGTTTTAATAATATTAGTTTCAAATAATTATGTATTTGATAAATAATTCTTTAAATATTATATTAATTAATAAATTTATAATTTAGATATTTTATTAAAAATTTTTGAAATTCAAATAATAAATTAAATAATCATATGTAATATTATGATATACATACATACAATCGGATAAGATTTGTTTAAGTGGATACTTAGGTGATAGTTTTTTTGGATGACACATAAGATAATAATAAATATTATAATATATATTATCAAAATAATCAAATATCAAAAGCTTTTAAAACTAAATCATTAAAATAATAATAAATATTCAAATATTGATTTGAAAATAAATAAAAGGATATATAATTATTTACTTTATTTAATATTATTCAAATCCATTTAAAATATTCACATTTGCTTAAATTGATAAGAGTATGTATGAATTACTGTTTAAAATTTTGGTTTAAGGACTTTAAAATATCCATCTTAATACATTTTTTAAATCTTTAGTTAATAAGCAGATAAAACCATCCATTTAAATAAATGGATAAAAACATGTTTAATTATTTATATTTTAAAATACTTGATATAGAATTGAAAATATAATAGATTTGTGATATTCTATTTTATTCGAAACTCTTTTTTTTTTACTCCTTCCATTCCAGATTTCTTCAAATTCTTCGTTTAAAAGTATTTTTTTCATTCATATTTCTTTTTCAAAACTCTATTTTCTCCCTTAAATTTCTCTATTCTTATTTTCTTTTTACAATGATTTATACGATGAATAAGAATAAATAATGGATATTTTCATAGTAAGAAAAAAGAAACATTTGTTTTTGTTTCCTTAATGTATGTAATTTTTTTTAAACAAGTTTTCATTTCTTGATTTTCATGTAATTTTTTTGTTAATGTATATTAGTTCTATTGCTGCTACTTTAAATTCTATTATATTATGGTGATAAAAATTTTAAATTGGAGTTTTCTAATCCTTTTTTTTAATGAATGAATTTTTTTTTTATCATGGGTACATGTATGCATGAAGAAGATAAATATTTAAGGGATTAAGGAATAGTTTAGAATTTGACGAATTTTTCTCGGTTCGACTTCCTACATCACATTTTTTTCTTCAATTTCAAATTTCTCTATTCTTTTGATCAGCTTCATTATTAAAATTCAATTACATTTTATTTTAATTATTAGTTTTTCTTATAATTTATTGGGATCTATAAATACGTACTACATTTGGATTTTATGTAAACCTTTTTTTTTTATAAAGCAAATTTCACTTTTTTACCAATTAAGCAATTAAATTTATGAAATGAATTTAATTAAAAATTTCAATGTTTTAAATATTTACTAATATACTTTTCTAAAAATTAAGAATGTAGATCAAAAAGTTATTTGAAAATTTTGTTGATAAATTATATTTTGAAATTTTGTACTTTCAATTTATGAAATTAAAATCAAATAAAAATTTTAAACATTAAATATATAAATTTAATTAAAAATAAAAAAGAGAGAAGATACAAATATTTAGTGATAAAAACAAAATGTTGAATCTACAAAAATTTTATGTAAATTTTTAATGAATTAAATTAAATATTATTATAAATAAAAAAAAATCCCGTGCATTTGCATTGGTAAAAATAGTTTTTTTTTTTTTTTTAATTTTTTATAATTCCATTGCATTATCCCTTATCCATTCTTTTAGTTAAAAGACAGAACACGTCAATTAGTTTAACAAAAACTCTATATAAATTACACATATATCTAAACTTTTTTATAAGAGAAGTCAGCGTAATGCGGGACGTTAGTCCAATTTATTTGGGATGATCAGATACCACCTTTACTAAATCCATTACTAATGGTTCGCTCGAATATGATTACTTTTTATTTGTTAAAAAATAAAATGCATCATTAACTTAAAATCAATTAATTTGAATTAACGTAAAAATCCCATATAAATCATATTCATCCAAACTTTCCACATGGGAAGCCATCCTTTATGCCTTCAAGTATGCTCATTCAGAAAAATCACGTGTCTGGGGCAGTAGCGCTGTAGAGGTAAACCCAACTACGCACCGATGGAAATTGCATTGCACTTTCTTGGAAAGCAATGGAAGAGAAGAGTCAACAATGCACAGCCTCAAAGTCAAGAGTCAACTTTGAAAATTTTAGCCCTCTTTTTTTCATTTATCCACACCAAATAACGTAGAAAATATTGTGCTTATAAATGGATTCTTTGTACTTTTAATTAACTACGTCCCACCCAGGGTAGAGTTGCAGCAAACCATGAAGCAGCAGCAGCAGTCTTCTACTTCTCCAGATCTGGTGCTGTTGGCAATAGCAGCAATAATGTTACTTTTTCTCGCAGGCCAACTCCCATCTAGCTCTGCTCTAGTTCCTTCTGGTATTATTATTATTATTATTATTATCATTTTACTATGTTATTTCACTGTCACTCTTACATGCACTTGTGAATCTCATTTGGTTTTTGAGCTTTTTTTTTTTTTTTTTGTTTCTTGGCCTCTTGTGCCCAAATCTATGGCGTCTCACTTGGTATTATCACTTTATATATATGTTCTAAAAGGTGCAGAGACGAGTCCAATTGATGTCCTTTTATGTGAAAGTAGCTGGAGGAAGATGTTTCTGGACAAAGAAGGCTGCTCTCGACGTGAAAGTGTGGTCGTGTATAGCAACAGAAGGTTTTTAATGAAATCAGGCGCGATACTGCCCTATCCACCATCACCTACAAGAAATCCACTAAAAGGGATGGGTGTACCACTCCCACCACCCCCACCACCCCCATTGCTATAACTATATTGACTATCTGCATGGCTATATATGAAAAGGAAGATGTTAGTGTGTTAGTGGTTGAAGCATGTTAGTGTGTTAGTGGTTGAAGCAACTAAGTATGGCATTTCTGCTGGAACTTTCTGACAGCAGATTAGTCTAGGTAAAATGATGGGTCTGTGCATGGTGACCCATGCTGTTAGGCTAACTACTTTTGTATTTTTGAAGCCTATAAATTAATGAAATGAAGCTCATGATCACATGAGCCAATTTACTTCAAGTAACAGATTAGTTTATCTTGTTTTCTGTTATAAATCCTTCAATTGGTATCAGAGCATTCCTTAAGTTCTTAGAGGATCTATGAGTCCTAAAAATTGAGTGAAAAGCCATCAAACACTTTCCAGCCAGCTTTTGTCAACCTTAAATGGCCTCAAGCAATTGCTTCTTACCTTCACCTCCTATTTTTTCTGGTGAAAACTACCAGATATGGGCTGTCAAAATGAAGACTTATTTGAGTGCTTTTGATTTGTGGGAAGTGGTGGAAAATGAGAAGGAACCACCACAACTTCTTGCAAATCCAACAGTAACTCAAATGAAAAATTATAGTGAAGAAAATGCAAAGAGGTACAAGGCTAAAAGCTGTATTGAGTCTTCAGTTTCTGATGACATATTCATTAGAATCATGACTTGTGAAATTGCAAAACAAGCTTGGGATGTGCTCAAGGAAGAGTTTCGAGGCAGTGACAAGACAAGACAAATACAAGTGTTGAATCTTAGAAGAGAGTTTGAAGTCTTAAAGATGAAGGAGTCTGAAAATTTAAAGGAGTACAATGACAGACTCATGAAGATAGTAAACAAGATTAGATTACTTGGTGAGGAGCTGTCAGACAAAAGAATTGTAGAGAAGGTTCTTGTCAGCTTACCAGAGAGGTTTGAGTCAAAAATCTCATCCCTTGAAGACTTTAAGGACCTGACCAAGATAACTCCAGCAGAATTGTTCAATGCTTTACAAGCTCAAGAGCAAATAAGGGCTATCAGACAAGAGGATTCAACAGAAGGTGCTTTTACAGCCAAAGAGAAAGGTAAGATGCAAACAGAAAGCAAAGGCAGAAAACAAGGAGATCAAAGAAACCGAGGTTCTAGAAACAGTGAAAAGAAAAGAAAATTTCCACCATGCTCTCACTGCAAAAAAACTACTCACTTGAAGAAATATTGCTGGTACAGACCTAACATACAATATAGGTACTGTAAGCAGCTTGGTCACATGGAGAAGGTATGTAAAAACAAAAAACAGCAGCAGCCAGATCAACAAGCCAGAGTTGCTGACAATCAACAATAGCTAGAAGAACAAGTTTTTGTTGCAACTTGCTATGGAATCAGAACCTCCTCCAGTGCATGGCTCATTGACAGTGGCTGCACACACCATATGGCATCTGATATCAACATATTCAAAGAACTAGACAAGACCTGCACCTCTAAAAGTCAGAATAGGTAATGGTGATTTCATAGAAGTCAAAAGAAAAGGAGTAGTGGCAGTTGAGACACCAACAGGTACCAAACTCATTTCAGATGTGTTATTTGTGCCCAAAATAGATCAAAACCTGTTGAGTGTAGGACAGTTGCTAGAAAATAACTACTCTTTAGTCTTCAAAGACAAGGCATGCATAATTCATGATCCCACTGGCCATGAACTCTTTACTGTTAATATGAAAGGAAAATGTTTTTCCTTGAATTGGCATGAAGCAAACTCCTCTGCATATGTTACTTCACATGATGAATCTTCTTTATGGCATAAAAAGATGGGACATTTCAACTACAATGCATTGAATTTCATGCATAAAAATGATCTTGTATTAAACATGCCTACTGTTGAAGTCAGTGCTGGAGTGTGTGAAGTCTGTCAACTAGAAAAATAAAGTAAGTTGCCATTTGCAATTAACAAAGCATGGAGGGCAACTGAAAAAATTACAACTTGTTCATACTGATGTTTGTGGTCCTATGAGAACCTTGTCCTTGAATGGCAGTAGATATTCATTGCTTTTATAGATGATTTTACTAGGAATGTGTTGGATTACTTCATAAAACAAAAGTCTGAGTTGCAAATGTATTTTGGAAGTTCAAGGCTTGGATTGAGAATCAATGGCTGCAAAATCAAGATCATAAGGTCATACAATGTACTGGAATACATATCTGACATTTAATGAGTTTTATGAAGTTGTAGGAATTGAAGCACCAACTGACAGCAACTTACACTCCACAACAAAATGGAGTCAGTGAAAGGAAGAATAGAACAATCATGGAGATGGCAAGATGCATGCTGTTTTGAGAAGAATTTTTTAAAAAAATTCTGGGCAAAGGCAGTCAATACCTCTGTCTACTTGCTCAACAAGCTGCCCACAAAAGCTTTGAAGGAAAACACTCCTTTTGAAGCCTGGAATGGAAGCAAACCATCAGTGCACCACCTCAGAATTTTTGGCAGCATCTATTATGTGTTCGTTCCTGATATCAAAAGGGACAAGCTTGATCAAAAAGCAAAAATATGTATTTTTTTGGGCTATAGCAACATCACCAAAGGCTATAGGACTTACAATCCACTTACAGGCAAGATGATTGTAAGTAGGAATGTGAGATTTAATGAGCAAGCTGCCTGGAATTGAGAAAAATCAAAAGAAGAATCAGTCAAGTAAATTGCTACAGACATGATAAGCTTTCAAGATCAAGAAGATTATATGTTTGAAAATGAAATCATTGATCATGAACCAGTGAGAGGAATCAGACCACTCACAGATATTTATCAAAGATCAAATGTTGCCATTCTTGAACCTGCAAGCTTTGAAGAAGCTGTCAAATTTTCAGAGTGGAGAAATACCATGAAGGAGGAGATTCAAATGATTGAGAAAAATCAAACATGGATGTTGGTTGACAGACCAAGTAACAAAAACATAATTGGTGTCAAATGGATTTTCAGAACAAAGTTGAATGCTGATGGTTCCATCAACAAACTTAAAGCTAGATTGGTAGCTAAAGGCTACTCCCAACAGCTTGGTGTTGATTTTTCAAAGACATTTGCTCCAGTTGCAAGGTTGGACACTATAAGGCTGCTATTAGCCTTAGCAACTCAGCAAAGTTGGAAAATATACCAACTTGATGTCAAATCTGCCTTCTTGAATGGTTATCTTGAGGAAGAGATCTACATTGAACAACCTGATGGTTTTGTTGCCAAGAGACATGAAGACAAAGTCTATCTACTCAAGAAGGCTTTGTATGGATTAAAACAAGCTCCCAGAGTGTGGAATTCCAGAATTGATGATCATTTACTGAAGTTAGGATTCAAGAAAAGCCTCAGTGAAGCAACATTGTACATTAAAGTTTTTAACAGTAATGATCTGTTGATTGTTTTTTTGTATGTTGATGATCTTTTGGTGACAGGTAGCAAATCAGCTCTTGTGGAAGATTTTAAGCTCCAAATGCAGGAAATTTTTGAGATGACAGACATGGGAAAAATGTCTTATTTTCTTGGAATGGAGATTCATCAAGACCAGCAAGGAATCTTCATTTGTCAAAGAAAATATGCAAATAAAATCCTGAATAAGTTTGGGATGAAAAATTGCAAACCAGTCAACACTCCTTTGGCTCAAAATGAGAAACTTGTTAAGGAAGATGGAGCTAACAAAGTTGATGGCTCTATTTATAGAAGCTTGGTTGGTTGCTTATTGTATTTGACAGCAACAAGGCCAGACATCATGTATGCTGCAAATTTACTCTCTAGGTTCATGCAAAATCCTAGTGAGTTGCATTTTAAGGCTGCAAAAAGAGTGTTGAGATATGTCAAAGGAACCAATGAACTTGGAATTTGGTTCAAGAAGAATGACAGTTCAAGATTGGTAGGATTCACAGACAGTGACTGGGCTGGCTCTCATGAAGACATGAAAAGCACTTCAGGCTATGTGTTTTTCATTGGATTAAATGTGTTCAGCTGGAATTCAAAGAAACAAGGAACATTGGCTCAATCAACAGCAGAAGCAGAGTATATAGCTGCTGCAGCTGCTATTAATCAAGCAATTTGACTAAGAAAAGTTTTGTTGGATTTGAGTCAAAAGCAAGATGATCCAACAAAAATTTTTTGTGATAATTAGTCAGCAGTTGCAATGGTTAAGAACCCTGTGTTTCATGGAAGAACTAAGCATATTAAGATCAAATATCACTTTATTAGAGAAGTTGAAGCTGAGAATGAAGTGAAACTGGTGCATTGCAAGTCAGAAGATCAAATTGTAGATATTCTAACCAAAGCCTTACCAAAGGCAAGGTTTGAAACATTAAGGAAAAGTCTTGGTGTTTCCAGCAGAAATACCAAGGAGGAGTGTTAGTGTGTTAGTGGTTGAAGCATGTTAGTGTGTTAGTGGTTGAAGCAACTAAGTATGACATTTCTGCTGGAGCTTTTTGACAGCAGATTAGTCTAGGTAAAATGATGGGTCTGTGCATGGTGACCCATGCTGTTAGGCCAACTACTTTTGTATTTTTGAAGCCTATAAATTAATGAAATGAAGCTCATGATCACATGAGCCAATTTACTTCAAGTAACAGATTAGTTTCTCTTGTTTTCTGCTATAAATCTTTCAGAAGAACAAGAAGGAGAAAGACAATTTCAATGTACGCTAGCTGCAGGAGAGAAGGATATGTCGAATCTTATGTTGTCGTAGAGAAATAAAATTCCATGTTTGTTAGTTACTCCTTGGATTTATGAAGCATTGTATGTATGCTTAACTCAATGCCCTTAATGTGATCTTCTTTGTAATATATATATATATATATATATATATATTGATTTAATCGTGGAATATAGGTTGGCATTTACTAACTAGAAGTTTTCATATTGCATGATATCTGAACTTGAGCTGTCATCGATCTTTTTGCGGAAGCATTTGCATTAGTTGCACTTTCATTCCAGATAAGTCAAATTGATATGGATCTTTATTTCCCCTTATTGTCGATTACTTGTTTTCCATTATTAGCAATTTTTAAACCCATACTCATAATTATTCCATCCCGGGTAGTGCACTTGTAACTGGATATTGAAAACTGTGCCTTGTTGAAGAGGCAAGCAAGGTTTTCTATGGGATTTCTGGTAAGGATTTTTTTTTCAAAGGATTTCGTAGTTTAAGAATAAGGAAATGAGTTGTAAGATTTCAATGATACATTTGTTGAATGTCACATTTTAAAAATAAATATATAAATTAATTGAATTAAACTTAACATTCTAAAAAAAAAAAATTGTTTTGTGTATGATTTTGGGATACCGAAGTCGTGGCTTTTGGAATAAAGAGTTGAAGTTGTTTAGTTGGATGAGACATATGGGGAAGCAGCTATATGGGTAAACTTTGGTTGGTCTGACATTGGGGTTAGTCGATTCCAGCTTGTTAAGTGTTGGTCAAGGTATCCATGGTTTCTGTTCGAAAAACGGTTTTAATTGTACTGTTCATATGGGAAGTTCGCTCGTAAACTTGTCTTCAAGGTTTAAGTACATGGCTTCGGAAAATCTTGTGTTTTAGCTGTTTGCTTCAGCCTGATTTAATAGCGTCGTATTCTCAAATAACTGGAATGAACTCTTTGATATATCGCTTTGCGGCGGCACTCCAGCAGCATCTTAAAGTTACAGAGCGGAGTAATGTCCAAAGTATAAGTTGGAATTTAAGAATTAGTAAGAGAAATGAACGTCATCAAATAAGTTAACAGATATACATTGAAATAAAGGCAATTATTTTACTTCATCAGGGAAAGCCAGAATTTAGAAATATGTACAACTCAAGTTAAAGAAAGAAAAACCTGGCATTGTTCTTCATCTCTGCCAATTAGATACCATTGTTTTGCCTGTACGTACTTGAACATTAGAAGTTAGGACGATGATAGCTTTTGAAATGCTACAAAAATAAATTACTGATAAAAAAGAAAAATTACAGACAGATCGATAGTGATGCATAGAAAGTTCAAATCGAAAAAAAAATACCAGATCCTTGTAGCCGGTATGTTTATATTCCGAGGGTCAACTCATTCCAATGGAAGAGAACTAAACAGACTCTTTGTGGAATTTCTATAAAAGGTAAAAGATAGCATTACATATAAAGTGCGCCCCCCCCCCCCCCCCCCCAAATGAAAACCAGTCACCTTCTAAAATTCTCTATGTTACAATGAAGGCAGATTTCTATTATATGTTAACGTACAAGGAAAAATGGAGTGCCCCATTTGTCTCAAGGTTTTCCCATTAGGCCAAGCCATAGGTGGTCACAAGAGATCTCATTTAGTTGCTGAGGCAAAAGAAAACCAAAAGCCAATTTCCGGAAATTCGTGACTTTCTTGATCTTAATCTGCTTGTTACTGTAAAAGAAGAAACCGGTGTTTCCATTTGGGTTCAAGCCTTGGTGGGTGGAAGCAGCCACAAGCGCGAAGCATTAGTGGGGTGCTGATTTCTAACTGA